ATTTGGATTTATTAAATAATTGAGTTTTATGAGATGTGTTCGTAGTAAATTCTCACCCGGAACTGATCATTCCTGGGAATGCTAACCATTAGGGAAAGGCTATCAGGGGGAATTAAATTCACGCGGCTAAAGGAAATTCGATCGTGAATGGATTTCGACTATTAAATCGCGTAAGTGATATTTTGAGCCACTGTTGGCCGATCCAAGGATAGTTATGGGTCAGTTCGCCACTGTCCTAGTAGTGGATCACGGGTGATTCCGTAGGACCACAAAACGACGTGACGAATGATTCTGAAATTATACCGAACGATCGTACCTCTCGGATCAATTGATTGATCTTCGCGATTTTAATGACAACCGAGGTCATCACGCACCGAACGGACTTGCACGTGACTCGATTTAGTATCAGTCATGAGTCGATTCAGCGAATTTCCCCAGCAAGCCGCCCGTTAGCTCGAGAAATGCTCGAGTTGCGTTTAATAGAATTTAATTATGGAATTTTGCCCAAATTGGACACCGGAAAATTAGGAAGTCACGACGGAACGTTAGGACGACGTTGCACGTGACACGTGTCAATTTTTGGTGCGCTCAATTCCTTTGGAAAAATTCGATTTCGGAGAGAAACGGAGGAAGGGACCATTTTACCCTTGGGAATTAATAAATTGTTAGTTGTGTGAGAGAAGGGCATTTTGGTAAATTGCCAAAAGTTGGTCAAAATTGATTTTTAAGCCCTTGACCCCCTTTCTCTCTCTACTCTCTCTTCTTTCTCCCCCTCTTCCCGTGAAATCCCCCCTCCTCCGTGAGTCCCCTCCCCCTCCACCGTATACTCTCTCTCTTTCTCCCCCACCGCCGGCACCGCCGCTCGCCGCCGCACGCCGCACCGCCGTCTAGCCGCCTTGCCGCCCCCGTACGCCACCACCACCATCCTCAAACCTCACCATCTCACTCTCTTTCCCTCTTTCTCTCTTGGCCGTGAGCCCCCAATCACCGCCCAAGCCGCGTCGTTGCCACCCAAGCCGATTGCCGCCACCCCGGAGCCGTACATCATCGCCGCCGTTCCCAATTAAGTGCCGCCGCTTTCCGTTCTAGCCGCGATAGTCTAGAACGCCGGTAAGTCGCGCTCTAAACCCAATTTAGGACTTCAGGTATCGACGGATGATTTTGGGCGAAATCTGTATAAAGTTAGGTGCGGAATTGTATGAATTGGTAGTGGAAATTTTATGGCGGGCCTTGGGATTTAGTTCGGCCATTAATTATTGGAAATTTAGAAAAATAGGGGCTGCGAATTACTGTTCACGAGCCGTGATTTACTGTTCACGAGGCTGTGATGGTCCGATTGGGACGCAAGTTGGATTTCTAGAACCGAGATTTAATGGTGAGAAAGTTCCGTGAAGGACCGGAATCAATTTGGCGTCATTTAGCGGGAGAAAAATAGAAATTTATGTGTTTTACGTGTGTTTTAATTATAATTGAGTTGGGATGATGAAATTTACAATATGCGGGTGCGAAAAATTGGGGTTTATGATTGGAATTGTTTGGCGGGCCTTGAGGATTATTTTTGGAATTTTTGGAGAATAAATTGAGGTGAATTATAAGCTGCGAGTTACTGTCACAAGCTGCGAATTACTGTTCACGGGGCTGTGATGGTTTGTTCGGGACGCAAGCTGGATTTTTAGAACCATTATTTAATGGCGAGAAAGTGTCGTGAAGGATCGGAATTAATCCGACGCCATTTGGTTGGAGAAAATTGGCAATTTACGTGCTCTGGGCATGTTTGAATTATTCTGGATGGGGTTGATTTAATTGAGTATTTGTTTGTGTGTTATATGAGGTAACTCGAGGATGAAATGAGGATGTTTCGAGGCTGGAGTGAGACTGAATAGAGTGCCAGATGTTGTGGGATGGAATTGGCAAACTTAGGGCTCGATTTAAGGCCAGGTAGTGTCGGTTTGGTGTGTGGTAGTATGGTTAGATTGTGATGTTTAATAGGCATGGAAATGTCGAAATTATGCCTATGAACATGGCTGTGATTGTGGGCCCATGAGCGGCATTGTGTGTTTATTGAACCGTGATTTGATGGATTGAAATGTGCTTGATTATGTGCACGCGTGGGCCAGATTGAATTAATTATTGATATTGCCATGTCTAATGCTGAGTGAGCATGAGCTGTGTGAAATAATGAGTGTGCGGGCCGCGTGTAATGGGCCAGTTGATCGTGGTAAATGCGTGTTGAGTGTGTGCATGAGTAAGAAAGAAATAGTGTCTGGCATGGCATGAGAAATTGTGGAAAATTGTGCCGTCCTGAGGCGTGTACTATAACGCGGGACGATGCTCGGTCTTACCGGAGGACTGCCAGCCTGAGGCGTGAACTTCTACGCGGGTTGCGCAGTAAGTGGTAGATGTTGAGCCTGAGGCGTGTACGTTTACGCGGGCAAGAAACATGGCCTGAGGCGTGTACATTTACGCGGGCCCGAAAGTGTTGTGGAAAGTGATTAGTGATCCCAGTGTGCCTGAGGCGTGTACTTCAACGCGGATCACTGGCGAGTGTTGTGGAAAGTGATCAGTGGTCGTAGTGTACCTGAGGCGTGTACGTTTACGCGGGTCACTGGCGAAGAATGTGAAAGAGGAAATGAAAATGAAAGGATCAGAGGAAGGGAAATAATTCACGCGCATGTTTGCATACGGTGTGATTGTGATTGAGCCTGGCTATATTATTTAATGTGCCTGCGATGTGATGTTCAGCGTGTGTGAATATATGTGTGTGATTGCGAAATTGTCTGGAGGTACGTAATAACCTAGGTTGGGTTTAGGGGTAAACTTACTTAGAAGTGTCTCACGGTTGTTTCAACCAAACCATTTCAGAGCTCCCGCCTCGCCTGAACAAGGTATCAGTCGCCACCGCCACCGCCAGAACGTTTGGTACAGTCATGCACACCGAGGATAATTTCGTGGAGTACACTCTAAATGGACGCCGTGTCGAGGACGCAAGAACTAATGAGGAGGCGATGAATTAATGTTCGTGTAGTACCGTTTTGGTAGATAGGGCGTCTACCTTTTTGGTGTATGATTTTTAAGGTAATCGTAGTGGGTGTACATATAAATTTTATGGACTCAAGGAATGGCGGACGGGTATAGGTGTACTTGCACATGGATGTTGTAAATTTATGTGGTAATGTGAGGTTTGTAATTGTTGGCGGTTAGGCGTGCTAGTTAATTCTGGTGTTCTCCAATTTATTTGTCTGGGTTTAATTATTTGTTTCCGCTACAATTGACTCTAATGCGAAACCGTTGAGTCGGCGACGTACTCCTGGGATGTCGCATTGTTCGACTTATGGGAAGTGAGGCGTGGAAAGCATTGGATTTGAGTCGGGGCGTGACACTCTTCTTCTGAACTTTGGATCCAAAACCATGCAGGGTTCGATCAAGCTCTGAGCGGATGCTGCGGGACTGGTCAGCTGGAAGCAGCGTTCATGTGCAACCCCAAGTCGTACGTGAGCTCAGATGCATCCAGATACGTGTTCTGGGATTCAATACACCCCACGGAGAAGGCTTATTACCTGCTATTTCAGTCGCTTCGCCCCGCTGTTGATGCTATCATCCAAGACTAGCTTGATGTTCGACCTCACCACGTCATTTATCATCTTGTTTTCCCCACCAGTTATGACTGCAAAATCTTCATTGGCTCGCTGCGAAGAATGTGCAAATTCTCTGGATGTTGAGCGCTCCTTGGAAATGTTTATATTCGTATACTGTACATGGCGAGGAATGTATCATACAAATTCATTGCACAAACAAAAGTTGATTATGAACATATTCTTTTGTTTTTCCCATAAAGTGAGGATTATGAGGTGCATGTGCGAGGGCGTGGCGAAAAAATCCTACCTCAGACAATTCCAAGAAGAACCAGTCCAGTTTTCGGTTCTGATCAGGAACCAACCAAGCAGGCTGGTTTCAAGATCCAATTGATTTAGAATCGATCTTATACATCTTATTTGGAAAATAAATAGTGATATTCACGAGGGAAAACGAAACTCATGACCAACAGCTTGAAGTAGGCACACAAAACCATTCAACAAACAAGACTTTACTAGTCCTGGGTTATATATTTAATACCAATCATGTGATTTTTACAAAACTTACCCCTTTAGTACCCGGTCGGTTCCGAGTATGATTGGTTCGATTCTTGGTTTCAATTTTCGAGAATCGGAGGAGTTTGGGGTTTGCTCTTCTCTCTCTCTTTTTAACTTGGTGGCACACTTTGATTCTAGTTTCCTAATGTTAGATAGCCTATGATAGTTCAAAAGCATTTTTTATACTTCTAGTTTTAAGCGTGCCTGAAAATATAATCTCACTGAAATACTAAACTTAGATTTCATTGAACTTATTAATTTTTTCCAATTGAATGTGACTTCTAGATCTTGGGCTTTTCTTGTACTCATTCGGCCCTTTTAAGTTTTAACGTGGTCAAATTTGCAATTTCTAAAATTTTGTGGGGCCAAAATCCATGGAAAGATGGAGTCAAACATATACGGGAATGAACCGCCGACCCTGCCCAAATCAATGCCATTTTGCTCCTTGCATATGAAGGCAATTTTTGCCTTTTTCGGCTATTTGATCCATGATCCTGCGATCATTTAAATCTTCTTTTTAATTTTTCTCTTTAAACATTTTGAACTCTTTTCCTTAGAATAAAGGAAAAGCATTAACGATTGTTGCCCGAAAGAACCTAGGTTAACTTTGGTTTTTCCGTGGTAAAGGTCATCCAATACCTATAACCTATCTATCGAGTCATTCTAATACGTCAAAGGACTACTGCGGACACACCCGCCTATCAACATTCTTTTACACTTGGGAACCTAGCGCAATTTATGAAATTTGTGTTTCTGAATGTAAGAATTTCATTTGAATTGGACAATAGTTGGTGGACCAAAAAATGGGAACAAAAAGACTATTCTCGTTAGCAAAGGAACCGAAACATTGAGAAACGACACATCCTACTATAACCCTAAAAGTGAACTCTCGGCGATATATATTACTCGATAGAGATATAATTCAACAATGTACATCAAACGTACTGGCTAGAACGTCGAAATCAAGTGCCCACCTTAGCGTCCTAGGATTACGACAAATTCGACAATGCAAATAAAAAATCCCAAACCCAGTATACGTCAACTGCCTCCGTAGTTTAACATCGGAGAGGTGCTCTAGGCAAGAAGGTTTTCATCGAAAGATGCAATGGCCTTGAGAGCAACGATCTTGTATATCTTCTCGGTAGGATGAACAGCGTCCCAGAAGACATACTTCTCTGGCTCAGAACATGTGGTCAGCCCTTTGCATGTGTCCCCATACTCCACCGTTCCTGTCCCACAACACCCTTTGCTCGTCTCCGTCAAACCTGCCATATTTCACGACAAACTTAGTCTCTTTGTACACTTGACATGAACAGATTTGAATATGTAGGTTGGGATCGCAGCCTATGATACATGGCACAGACTGACCGTATCTGTTGGGGCGGTTGATCGCGTCTTGTATGACGGCATAAGCATCCACGAAGCTGGTCTTCAGCCCTATGCTTTTCCTCAGAGAGTCCAGTTTTCTCCGGATCAGAAAATTGAACGAGAAAGATATCTTGTTGTAGTCTTGGTAGCAAGTCTTCGTGTCCATTAGGGTTTTGACGAGTGGCATGCATCCCAGAGGCGGGACCCCGACGATGACCAATCTCCTAGCCCCCAATCTGTGCATTTCCTGCAAACACGAGATGGGCAAAACACAGATCATCCTCATATGTACATTACATTTTGCAGGACCCCATTTACTACAGCTTTTATGCTTCTGTCTGTCCCCTGCCTTCTCTTGTGCAAACAAGGGAAATGGAGAGAAGATCCATAGCCATGGGTGGAAACCCTTTTCGCTTTCGCATGCACTGTAAAACGGGACAGGAAATTACTATCGAATGACCTTGCCCCAACTTGCCTTGGTTTTCGGTCAACAGATCTCGTGACTCAAAAGAATACCGATTCTCTCCGTGTCCATTTCTTGATGATATAGTTGTACTAAAAAAAGGGTTCGTGGATGTGCGTTTTCTAGATAGTCTCATTACTATCATGAGTCTCACATATTCTGATATTTAGTTAGTTTCGTTGTGCCTAATAAACTAAAGTATCAATTTCCCACCCATGTATGTGCGAGCACACGGATGGTGAAGTACTCAACCAGATCTGCTCCATGCTGGATTGGGTGAAGCTCGGTTGTTGATCATAACACGAGTTCATAACCATCGGTTTTGATTCATCCGGTCTACATGGACTCAGTCTAGACAAGAATTTGACATTGTGCGTGTATAGAGAGGAGAGAGAGAGGAACCTGAATGTCACGAGACATGCAAGAGATCAAAAAGGTTAGGTAGGCTTGCAAGGAGTACTGCTTGGGGCGAGTCGGGTCCAGGTAATAATTCTGGAGGAAGTCATTAGTTCCCATGCTCATGATGAACACTGCATTGTTGATGATATCTTCTGCCTTCTTCCCCCCCACTAACTTACTCAGGTGGAGCTTGTAATGCAGAAAATACTCCAGCTGCTTCGATACTGGGAGCACACTCTACTCACAAATCAAACCAATTCATCAATGAATAATCGAAGAAATAAAATGTAATTTGTGTAAGAAAAACTAAATTTACAAAGCTCACCGAGATATTGGCAGTGAAATCGTCATATCCGGAAGCAGCGGATGCAAAGCTAACCCCGTGAAGGAGCTCTGATCTGGTCAGCTTCGGGTCAAGAAATGCTGGGATTGCCTTGGTGTACCCAAGTGCCTCGGCTGAAATTACAAGGGAGAAATAAAATCGATTACCAACTTACATTGTGAAGAACTAATGTCGGGTGCACAACCAAGAAAATGATGGCCTATGCGTAAAATCAAATGACAAACGGAGGCCGTTTAAGTTAATCATGTTCATATTGTGTCGAAGTTGGAGTTTTCTCGATAAACTTTCTCATTCTGGCGTCATGAATTAATATTTACCTAAATGTTGACTTGTGTATTACTTCACATATAAAAGATTAGTGAGATATTTCGGGGTTTGGTAATATAATTCATTTCTTGATAGGGAGTTAGAAGAAAATTCCAGTATGTAAAGTAAGTTATATTTAAAGCCGCAGTCTGGTCCACTGAAATTTTCAGCACACAAGATGGGCAATGGCGTCCTTTCTCTTTATTGTCTGATAAAATCTTGAACTTAGCATAAATTTCTTCAATTTATTTTTCTACAAAAAAAAGAACTGAAACTTATGGTGTTTTCTCTGCGTCTCTTGATACATCAACTTCTCTACTTGTCCCATTCGTCACAAGGAGTGACTTGGTTTTTTGGAATTTCATAAAGTGGGGAGGCCAAAAAGGCTCATGCATGATCTCAAACTCTCATGAACTTTGGACTGAATTCCATAAAGGCATAAATAAATGACAGTGTGGATTCTTAAGTTAAAATGAAAGTTGCTTCCCTGAGTTCTTCAATGTCTGCACTAACTGCCTTTCATACTAGGGCACAAAAATGAGAAAAGTCATAGCTCCTCTCATGTTGCTAAACAACATGAAGTAATTCCCTATTTTACCTTCAGCATTACATGGAGAAAAGGTTTCGCTTCTTTCTTTCAGCATTATATGGAAGAAGATAGATCCGGTTCCAAGGTCGACCCTAAAATTGGTTCGTTCTCGGTTTAACTAACTTTGACAGAGAAGATTTCAAGTTCTTGTGTAAAAACTATTCACTCCGAAACCGATCACCTCTATAAGCAATATAACAAATGGCACCTTTAGCAGAATCATTGCTTTCACCATTTTTAGCATTTCATCATAGCAGTTTCAAGAAAATACTTCTTCTAAATTTAGTGTACCAATCAAGCCCCATAACTTTTCTCTGCCTCCTATATTGGTGACCCTTGCTAGTCCTTTGTCACCTTTTTATTGGGTTCTAAACTGTATTTTTGCTCAAATGAATGCACCATTCAAGTACTCCATTGCTTGCATTTAATCTAAATATTCCAAGAAATCATAAAGTGGAAATATTAAAGAAGAGGTATATAAATTAACTTTTACCAATAAAATCAGTGGCGAGCCTGCCATTGCAGAACCTCCCAGTTGGGTGGCCATTGAAGAAGTCTCTTCCATAAGGAAGGAAGTTGCTCTTCATGGTGGTCTGAAGCCGGTTGTTGTTCCCAGGATCAACACTTGAGTCCCCAAAGACCAGAATGCAGGTCACATTGTTTTTAGCTGCCAATTGCCTCATTTTGTCTATGGCAATGGCCTGTGCAAGCAGTGGCAATAATGCCAACGACGCCACAACCGCCGCCATCCCCGCCCCTGCCGCCCTCATCTTCGCCGCAGCTGCCGCAAGACCACCGCCTGAGCAAAAAGCTGAGGAGCTTGAGAAACGGCGCGTGACTGTGGACAGGGAGGGATGGACGGAGGGAGGGAGGGTGTGTTCGTGAGTTATAAATGGCCAAAGTTAGCTGCACTCCACTTGGTAATAAATAGGGACTGAGGTGATATTGGTGCTGTTGGTTGGGCATTTAACATGTGTCAACAGGAGAATTCTGAACCTGATTGGAGTTGTTGGGTTACAGTTATGAAAGAATAAAAAAACTAGTAGTACAGAAAATATGTGAAGTTGGTCTCTTGATGTTAGATTTAAAGGACGATTTACTAAGTTCGAATTAATGCAGCAGGCTCTTTTTAAGGTGCTGTTTGCACTTTGCACACGATCAGCTTATTGAAATATACAGTTATTCCACTTACGCTTTTTACAGTAATTTTTGTGAGTCAAAGCCCCATTATAACTAGCTTTTCAGATCCCTCTGGTTTCTTGATTGTGATTGACTTAAGACAAGTTTAGATTTTCTTTTTTTAATGTTGGGGAATTCTGCACTCGCTTAAGAGTTGAGAGCATCATCTTCGTTGCTCAAGAAAAATTACCAAAAAAATTCTAAACCTATTATCGAATGTCAATTTTATTTTAAACTTTTCAATTTAATCAATTTAGTCCTAAAATTTTTGACGAACTTTTAATATAGTACTTCCGGCCAATTTTGGCCGACAATTGCTAACGTGAACTTAGGTTGTCCTATGACATAGATAATTATGCATTTTTTAAAAAAATTTCTAAATTTTTTTATAAATTTCTTAATTTCTTTTCTTTTATTTCTTTTTTTTCACTGTGGACCGGCGCATCGGCCGCAAGCGAGGGTTGCAACCCTCACCCGACTTCAGTTTAAAAGGAAAAAAAGGAAAGAAAAGGACAAAATATATATATATAATTTCATAATTATTTTTAAAAAATTTGCAAAATTTGTCTATATTAGCACCGACTGTTCCGTGTAGGATGGCTGGTGTTCACGTTAATGATTTTTGGCCAAAATTGATTGGAAGAACAATATTGGCAAATTGTTAAGGGTTTAGGACTAAATTAGCAAAAAAATTTTAAAGGCTTATGACTAAATTAGCCAAATTAAAAAGTTTAGGACTAAATTGGCATCCGTACAATAGGTTTATGACATTTTTTTGGTAATTCTTCTCTCGGAAGTACAATGCTTTCTTCCATGTTGTTAGAAAGATAACACACTTATCATTATGAACTATAAAATTGTGTTGTGAAGAAGGGTGAAAGAAGTCGAAAAAAATCACTAAAATTCGACTTTCATTTTTTAAATTAGAATTACATGAACAAAAGATCAATAAGACCTTTTCTTCTCTTCATCCATAATTTGGTATCAATATCAATCCATTAGTGTTCGAGTACCAAACTAATCCTCACTAGGGTGAAATGCAATCCATGTGTTTTGATGAACAACTATTTGATTGTCGGAATGAATTGTGCTCTCGATGATAATAGTTGCTCCAGGAAAAAAGAATGAATGCCAATGCTGCGATTTGAACATATGCATTGAATAAGGAAAACGAACAACCAAATATAGCAAGAGCATCCTCATTATGGCGGTTAGAGATCAGATTGTGACTCTTCATACCATTTCCTGTCCAATTCAAATTATTGGTTTGAGAAAGATGAAATATATATATAGAGATAATGACACAAATGGTTCATGAACTTTGACCTAATGTACAATGTGATCCCTAAATTTTTTATTTTGTTCAATGTGATCCCTGAACTTTTGGTACATGTTCAATTTAGTTCTCGAACTATACGAAAATGTTCATTATTGTCCTTCCATTAATTCAAGTTCAGGGACAATATTGAGCATTTTCATATAGTCCAGTGACTAAATTGAACATAAACAAAAAATCCAGGGACCTCATTGAACAATTTAAAAGTTCAGGGAGTACACTATACATTGGACTATAGTACAGAGATCACATTGAACAAATTAAAAGTTAAAGGACCACATTACACATTTGGTTAAAGTTCAGGGACCATTTGTGTCACTTTCCCATATATTTATAATCTGCATGTCTTTATGCCACAAAAGAAGGCAATGGAAAATGGCAAGCACCTAATCATTGTTAAGATGTGTCCACCCTGCAAACCACATTAGCACGAGAGAAGCTTACGTTGTTGGACAAGCATGGATGATTGAAGGCTACAACAGCTAATTCTGTTCTGCACATGCATGGCTCTCACTGTTCAGAACAGCCAGGATTAGTCATTAATTGGGAACTGGCTTTTTCATCTGTCAATAGCATTTATTGTTGCGCCACAAGTTGGCCAGCTAACTTTTTCGCTTAGTAGAATTTCCCTTCAATGCGCATATAATTCCAAATACAAGTGGCAATAAAATCTCAGTCTCGTTATTTTTTTACACTATCAGTGTAGAAGAATTTGCACGAGCAGTCTTATATACCCTTAATTGAATGATTAGTAAGATAACGAGTGATTAAAATGCCCAAATCAATACTAAATAAGATGACTTGTGTGTCATACCGACAATACATGCTCTCTTTTACTTTTTTACGTGTTCTGTTTTGTCAGCTGTGTCTTGAAATTTGCATTGAATATAATATTTCTCCTATCCAGAACAGAACAGATGCCCAATCGAAACTGAAGTTGCCCTTTTGACCCCAAAAATGGGAGGGCCAGAGTTGAATTTCTGTGTGAGGAATTGAATTTTCTGACCTGCCCTTTTGACAAGTATACATTTATGATGAGATGATCCACAGGCCAGTGTAATGCACAGTGCATATGATAATGATGGGCACACGAGCAGGATGATCAGCAACATGGAGCGGTGACGGACGAGTTAGGGCCAACTGTAGCACCTCGTGTCTTGCAAACCGGGAGGGTCGCATTCACATTCATCAAGAAATATGGCGGAGGAGAACACCCAAGAGTCGTCATATGAAAAGTTAGGAAAAGTTTCAGGTAGCCATTTTCATGTCCATGCTGCTTTTGCTATTCTCATTCTTATTTTCACCATCTATCGCGTTCATGCACGTGGCTTTCGAATCGATGTTGATGATGTCCATCGGTTCGAGGTACGTTTTTAAATTCATTATCAAGTACGAACGCATTCTTTGATGATAAAAAAGAAGCTGGTGAATCACTTTAACTCTTTTAGGTTTCAGAATGATATATGACATTGTTGTCTCTCTTCTCATTAAACTGGCTTATGTTGGAGGTAATGCAATCGGTTTCAGAAAATACTGCAAAACCTCAACCCTTGAATGGATAAGCAACCATGGACATATATCTACTCACAGCCTAACGCTCCACCTTTATGTTATCTCTTTTAATTCCTTTTAAGAAAGTGAAGATGGTGAAAACAAAAGTGAAAAAAAACTTAAAACTCCTTGTAGCCCATTACATTAGAGGTTTCTATTAGAAGCACTAGAAAAAAAAAAAAACATACTTACAGCAACCTTCAAATAGAAAGATTGCTTTTAATAGTGGAAGAAATGCACCAACTACAATTGAAAATTGGATAAAACTATCCTAATTATCAATGAAAATGTTTGGCGTAATTGTTGTCAATATGAATAGATTTCCCGTCAATTCATTATTAGACACAAAAATATTTTCCGTGAATTATGCCAGCAAAATTTACTTGGATCAAGATGCCAATACATAGACATGATCTTGCTAAATGTAGCAACAAGTCAGATTCAGCACCGAAAAGGAGTTCCACATTGAAAAGCCACAACCACCACCACCTAATTCGATGTCAACATCAATCGATGTTATGCAATAACGCTATCTATCAGAATTCAGTAATCCGAACCCTACTGCCACCCCATCTGTCTACTAAATTCTGGGCAAAAATGTTATCTCTTGAAGCTGAAATTGAAGAGGCGTTCTCAATAATTGAGGATGTCAAAAGGGATAGGACACCGAAGGATTTAGTCTACTGTCAACTAGAGGTGTCAAAATGGGTCTTAAACCCATATATGACCCATTTAAAAATAAATGGGTCATATATGGGTCACTTAATTTTAAAGAGTCAACCTTAGATGGGTTTTAAATTTTAAAGCTTAAAGATAAATGGGTCTAAATGGGTTGAGTTTGGAACCCATGTTCAACCCACCCACTAGATTCATCCACACACTCTCTTCTTCTTTATAAAGATATTTAAAAAAAATCGAAATTTAATTATTTTTATTTTTTCTCTTTTTCTTTTATTTTTTCTTTTTTCTTTTCTCTTCTTTCTTTTTCTTTTTTTTTATTCCGGCCGGTGGTCGGCCACGGCGACCGGCCACCGGGGCGGGACGACCTCGCCGGAGGCCGGCGAAGCTCGAGCTCGCCGGCCTTCGGCGAGGCTCGAGCTCGCCCAATTCCGGCGACCTCGAGGCTCGCCTGATCCCGGCGAGGCTGGAGCCTCGCCAGATCGGCGAGAACGAGCTTCGCCGACCTCCGACGAGCTCATCCTCGCCAGATCGGCGAGAACGAGCTTCGCCGGCCTCCGGCGAGCTCGTCCTCGCCTGTGGTCGGTCGCCGGCCACGGCGGCCGGCGATCGGCCAAAAATAAAGGAAAAATAAAAAAAAATTAAAAATAAAAATAAAAAATAATTAAAAATTCAATTTAAAAATGGATAATGACTTTATGAAAAATATTTTCTAGAAATGTCGCATTTTTCTTAAAACAAACAGAACCTCAATTTTAAAAAAAATTATAAAAAAATTTCACTAGCTTTGTATTGCATAAAATGTTTTAGCAGTATAATTTAAAAAAAAAAATCATAAGAAACAAGTATTCCTAGATTAGGTTAAATATAAAAGTGTTTTAGCAATATGGGTCGGGTCGGGTATGAGTTGGGTATGGATCGGGTCGGGTATGGGTCGAGATATTTACACTATGAATAAATGGATCATAAATGGGTTAATGGGTCAATTTGGGTCGGACCATTTATGACCCGACCCAAACCCGACCCGATCCACCCGTTTAACAGGTCTACTGTCAACCAACGTACTAATCACGAAGAAGCCAAGTAAATTAAACAGAAGACGGTATAATTCTGTATGAGTATAACATGGGGTGATTGTTTTGGAGTGGGTCTTATTTATGAATCATTTCACACCGTTTCTCGCATTCAATACGAGACTCGGGCATTACAAGATTTCCCCAATTTAGTGCATCAACGTCGTTCTCGGTGTCAGGTGGGGTTGATGGGATTTCTTAGGTGGGCTCACTATGGGCACACAAGCTCCGGTCTATCGAATATCTAAATTCGATTCTATCAACGATGCAAGAAAGTGATGAAAATTCGCACAACACAAGAATTTATGTGATTCAGTAGGGGAGATAGTCCGCCTACCTACGTCCATGGGGAGAAGAGATCCGTTTCACTAATAACATAAAAAAGTGTACATTCACTCTTTCTCATCTCCTGCTTCTATGTAGAGATCCGTTTCGCCCTAAATATATATAGCGAAACCCTACATGACACAAATTACAAAGTTGCCCACATAACTTAAAATATTAATCTTTTCCATATAAATCATTCTATGACTGAACATAAAATACCTCTGGCGGCCCGGGGGCGCTGCCCCGCGACCTCCGCCGGGGTGGCCCCCCCAGACCCTTGCCCGCTCACCAAGGAGCGGGACTCCCGTGCTGTCCAGTCATTAGGGAACCTTTCGAAACAGCCTCATAATCTCTTGGATAACAGAATACAAAATATCAACCTTAACACGGTTCTTATAGAGGAGTTTCATAAAGTCTATGATTACACTTGACAGACAAAAAAAAAAAATAATGTGCCCACCAAAAGCTACATCTTGTATGAACTCTCTTCCACACAATTACTGCCCTTGTTGATTCGACTAAAAGCCCAATAAGCTCAGTTCATGTCGACCTGTACATCCACTGGAGATGAGAAAGTATTCGGTAGAGGTATAGTATTACGTCATAAGTTGACATGGCAAGCATTTATGTACTGAAATTCAATCACACATTGACACATGTCTATGACGTGACAAGTATATAAAAAAACTGAAAAAATTTGCCCTCATTTTTCTATTTCTTCTTTCTCCTCTAGTGATGGTTGTTGCCTGTGCACCGCTTCAATGTTGCTTGTGGTCAGGCTTGTCCGTCGGACATCGAGAGGTCCTGGCCGAGCCACCCTTTTGTCGTCGCCATGGCTCGCAAACAAAGCCACTCCCTTCGTCGTCGCTTGCGACCATATTCGTCCGTCACCAGATCTGGAGCCATGGTCCATGACCGAGCCATTGCAAGAATCATCATTTCTTCATCCACCTCCAAATCTAGGGTATACGTATAGATCTTTGTTGTCGCCAACAGTCCTCACTTATTGTTCATCCACCCCAAGATCTTCTTCTTGGTCCACCTCTAGATCTGGGGGCTCTGAACTAAAAAATAACAAATCTGGCAACTCCCCAAATCCTATTAAGCGAGCCTTTAAATTAACACATCCATTGTCGATCGAATGGACGAGCTGCAATGAAATGGGCGGCTTGACCATGGATGCACAACAGTAGTCGGCTTGGATGCAGTTCCGCCGACTCCACCGGCAACCGCAAACGGAGGACATGGCTGTGGATGGAGAAGATGGGGGAAGAGAGAGAACAATTCTATCTAAATTTTTATTTTTTATATTTGTCCAAGTCATCAACAGGAGTCAAGTTGTGATTGGATTTCAGTAAAAAAAAACCTGCCACGTCAGCCTATGACGTGATATTACGTGATCACCGTGTGCTTTCTCGTTAAAGGAAATTTTGTCTGATAATATTTTAACATTGCCTAATCTACGTGAGTCTAGCCATCTAAAAGAATATTCAAAAGTGATCATCACTTGAGGGTTAGCTTCTATCTATGAGTCATTTGACAAATTTTCTCTCGCTTGATTTATGACTTTGAATGTTATAAAAATAAGGAATAATAACACAAACAGATTCTGAATTTTGGCTCAATGTACAATTTGATTAATGAACTTTTAATTTATTTAATATAGGCCCTGAATATTAGCCTAATATTCAATGTGGTTCTTGAACTTTAGCCTTTCGATAAAAAAAAAAGAACTTTAACCTAATATTTAAAGTGGTCCATGAACTTTTAATTTGTTCAATGTAATTCATAGACTTTTAGTACATATTCAATTTAGTCCATGAACTAGATGAAAATGTTCAATGTAGTCCATGAACTTGAATTAATGGAAGGACTACATTGATCATTTTCATATAGTTTAGGAATTAAATTGAACATGTACCAAAAGTTCAAGGACCACATTGAACATTAGGCTATAGTTTAAATACTATATTGAATAAATTAAAAGTTCGGGGATCAAATTGCACACTAAGCAAAAGTTCAGGGACTGTTTATGTCCTAAAAATAATTACATTTCAAAGGAAGGGTTATTATTGCCGACACTACACATCGATCAAAATGGCATATGTGTCTAAACAAAAATGCAAACATGTCCAAAAATTGCAGACGCGTTGAGTGTCCTTGACGCACCGGGAGGCGCCACGTGTCGACAACTCGGACAACTTTCTCCAAACCTCAGCTTGACAATAAGTTAATTCCAAAACCACTAGGATTGCAAATCTTAAAATACGCCTTGTACCAAATTTCTCCTAAACTCTCATTTCTTGCCCCCTTTTGTAAAAAAATTGCGAATTCACCCCCAAATATCACATGTGCTACTTGCGTAGATTGTGCAAGTCCTTTCGGCAAAATTCCCGGAGACTATGGGTGCACATGACAATATTTCTATGCCGGGGAACTATTTCTACTCAGAAATGGTTCTTTTTTATTCTGTGCCCGGAAACAATTTCTAAGCATTTGAAGGCGTTTGGTAACTGTCCAAAATTTCTATTTCTGGGACAGAAAAGAACAGAAATACGTTTGGTAACTACACAAAATTTCTTTTTATTAATAATATTTTAAATTGTTTAATAATTTTTTTCTTTTTTTTTTCTTTCTATCCTTCCTTCTTTGGCCATGGCCGGTCGACGTCGCCGGCGACCGGCCACGAGGCCGTGGCGTCGCGCCCTCGGCTGCGCCACGGCCGCTGCCTCGCCGCCGGCCTCGCTCGATCACGGGCGACGCCGACCTCGCCCGATTTGGGCGACGCCGACCTCGCCATGGGTCGCGACGGCGAGGTCGGCCTCGCCCAGATCTGGCGAGGCCGACCTCGCCGTCGCGACCCATGGCGAGGCTCGGCCTCGCCGTCCGGGTGAGGCCGACCTCGCCATGACCGGACGGCGATCCGCCTCGCCCTGACCGACGGCGAGCCGCCTCGCCCAGGCTGCGAGGGTCCAGCCCTCGCCCTCGCCGGCAAGGGGGACCCTCGCCTCCGCCGGCGGCCGGCGAGGGCCGTGACTCCCTTGCCGGCCACAGCCCAAGAAGAGCAACACAAAAAGAAGAAAACAAAAAAAAGAAAAAGAAGAAAAAAACTGATTCTCAAAATTGTCTTTGAGAAACAAGAAGCAACTTTTTTTTTACTTCTTGTTTCTCTTCCAAAACTGTTTCTGGGCACAAATTTTTGCAAAAATGTGCCCGGGAATAAAAAGTTTACCAAACGCATTTATGTTCCCAAACTATTTCTGGGAACAAAAGAACATAAATTTTTACTGTTTGGCACGTTACCAAACGGGCTCTACCTGGGCGAGCTTATCGCCCGACACGTTATAGCTTTGCTAGCTTAGATTCAGAATTAGGGGTAAGCGATTTCTGGTCCGGTCCAGTCCAATCCAAGAATCGAGAACCGAACTGGGAGGACCGATTCCCAGTTTCTAGGACGGGGGACCGGACCGATGGTCCGATCCGGTTTCAATTAGACCAATCACTTATTAGTAAAGGCAAAAAGGAATTGGGGAAATTAGATCAGGCTTTCTATTTTTTTCAAAAATTTTAAAATGTAAATAAATAAATTAGAAAAATATATATATTTATCGGTCGGGTCTGGTTCTCATCCTAGAACTGGAAACTGGACCATCCGAAAATCGGTTATACTTTTAAGAATAAAAAACCGAACCGATATTTCTCAGAGTCGGACCAAATCGATGGATCCGATCCGATTTAGATGGTCCATCTTGCTTACCCCTGTTCAGAACAAGACTTGTTCCGAACAACATTCGATTCTACACACAAACGACAGCATTCGTACAATTACAAGCATAAGCATTTTCGTTCGCTAGCGTCGCACGCTCGAGCATTTCGCAATGCAGCGCCTGTCGTCGCGAGCTTCGCGAGGCATTCGTTCTTCGCTGAAGCTCCTCCGCCATGCGCCGCCGTCGCCAGCATCTCCTGCTGCTTCCCCTTCTTCTTTCGTGCCCAGATGCTGCTTCGCTGTGTCGACTCTGCAAACGCGGTCGAACCTCCAAAAGACGCAGCGGCCAGCGATCCCGGGGGATTTCTTGAGATGGGCTGCGCTCGGCTCCTGCAGAGCGTCGAGATTCGCCACCGGGTTCGCGCCGCTGGAGCCCAAGCCGTTGGATTCGATCATGGACGTGGGGAGAGTGAAGGACCGGTCGGCCGAGGAGATAGCCTCGGTTTGGGACGATGTAAGCATTTTCAAGTCCCTTGCTTCTATACTCTTGTTATTCATGTGTGCAAGATGCGTGTTTTCATAGTATTTATGATGCGCTATAGAGATTGTAGTTGTGTCGGGGGGGCTAGGAATTGTTAGAACAAGTTAATTCAGAAGCTCGTTACATGGACGCCTATCTGTTTGATGATATTCCCCAGTTAAGTATAGTCACTAGGTTAGTATCAGGGTGCCTTGGTTTTTGTATGCGTAGAATGTTCGCAGTCTAGCGGCAAAAGATGTAGTGTAGGTCTGAATAATGTGGTGGAGAATTACGTGCCCTTGCACCAAAAAATGCTTGTCCTCGCATACTTTGCTTGTCAATATCAGTTCTATGGTCTCGTGTGTTGGATCTTCTGCTTATGAATTGTGATTGATTTTTTTTGTTTGTTCAAATAATCAATTTTAGTGCCTGTAAATCATTAGAAACTTTCGATGATCGGTAGTCATATGCTGCAATATTGCATGACTTGGTGTTGGATCTGGAGCACTGCATAACAAGCAGCAACGATTCTAAGTTTCCTGTCCTCGCACTTTTTACAATCTCATGTTTGCCGCTGTTAAAAGACCAAAATGGTTAATTAAGTTGTCAATTGAAAATCTATTCGCTTACTTCATCCCTTGCAATAGCAGACACTAGTGGCATTTAATTGCTTGGCTCACGTCGACACTATGTTTTTAGCTGGCCACATTTTGTAATAAATAATTGACCAACCGAAAAGCATGTTTTATGGACTGCGCCAAATATTTTGGAATAATAGAGTGGAAAGTTGTGAGAGTTCATTATGATATCTCATGTCACTTATTGTCTTGATGTTGGGCTTGTGCTTTGAATACCTCTTATCCCCAACATCATGCCGTAGTATTGGCGAAACATTGTGGGAGTCCTATTGGAGTTCAATAAAGTCTGTTTCATTTGCTTATGCTTTGAATTGTGATATCTAAGTAAACTTTAGTATAAATCAAATTTTCAGTGAAGTTTGTTTTGTTGATTTTGATTCTGTAATTGGTTGTACTTTCTCAGTATCACCTTGGGCGGGGTCATGTTGGCACCTCTATGAAGGCAAAACTTTATCATCTGCTAGAGCAAAGATCAGTTGATTGGTAATGCTTTCACTGTCTATCTGAATTATGTTCTCTTTCCCCCCAACATGTGAAATATGTAATTCATCTGTTCATGTACAGCCGATATTTTGTCATTCCTTTATGGAGAGGAAGTGGTTATACGACGATGTTTGCTCAAGGTACTCACTCTAATCGCGGAGCATATATACCAGTACATCGATTGATTTTACTTGCATAGAATACATGGTTATAATTGTCATCCAGATGAACAATGTCGGGTAGGTTATTTAGTCTCAAGCACGAGATGAGTATCTGAACATCAAGAGCACCTATGCTGTTCTTTGTTAAAGCTGTCTTCCTTTCCCCTGTATGCTGTTATTTCGGAGTATAGCTGCTTATTTAATTTGATATTCTTATGAATGATTTGCTTCCCTTTTCAAATAGCTGATCATGCAAACTGTTGTATACAAATAAATTGAGTGATGGCGGCGATCACTAAATTGGACCTTCAAGCCTCTTATTTATATGAATCTCGTATCCAGCTGATAAGTAAAGTGCCTTGGTATACCACCTAATAACTTTGGAACTTCTTTACTTTTGGAGATAGGATTACTTTCATTTATCTGCAATTTGTTTGGTACAATGATTGGAGTAGAAAATCTTGACAATCGTAGAACTAGAATCTACACTGTTTCCAACTTCTTCCGTATCTAACCCCTTAATATGAGCTTCAGCTGTTGAAATCCTGTCCACTAGGTCATTCTCTCTTTTAATAGAACTACTGCTGCTTTTCCATCATTATCTATTTGATTATATTTGCCTAAATGAGAAATCCCGATGAAGAAGCATCAACACATCTTTGGTCTATGTTTGTCATGGCTTTATGTAAGTTACAATATGTCCAAAAAAATACAATTACTAGTGGGAAGCATCTTGCTGTGCTTGTTGTGCTTCAATGCATTTGTTGGAAGAGTATCTTACGGGACTGGACTCTAGCTTCAAATGATTGTTGTTGTCGTCTTTCTGATAAGTGGCACTGGCTTCAGATTATAACATTTTGTGTTAAAGATGGAACGGTCATGATGCAATCATTTAGTTAGCCAGCCCTAGCCTAAAAAAGTAGTTTCGAAATATGTTAAGTGTTGAAGTATTATCCCACATCGATTGACAATGGGTGCTAAATGCTCTTTATATCCATGTGGTCTCCTCCTTCTATCAGCTTAAGCTTTTGAGTTGGACTTTCTAACATGCTATCATAGCCAGTGATATCCCTTTCGCGAATGCCACTTGTAATCCGGTTTGCACGTGAGTAGGGGTGTTGAAGTATTATCCCACATTGATTGACAACGGCTGCTAAATGCTTTTTACATCCACGTGGTCTCCTTCACCTATTAGTTTAAGTTTTTGGGTTGGACTTTTTAATATTAAGTATTATGGATGTGGTGAATGGCTGTCATTTCGAAATCAGTGTTCGTATTTGATTTTTCTGTGGTATTCGAAGAACTCTAGCAAGCTCAGAAGACAGAACTGTCTATACTAAATTACTAATCTAGACTTTGTTTTGACATTTTTATTTTACAGTACAAATGCCCCACATGCTTTTCACCGGTCTTGAAGATTACAAGGCAAGAGGAACTCAAGCATCTCCTTACATGACTGTCACTTTATACACGGAGTTCGCAGAGAGCAAGGACTTGGTTCTTATTCGTGGAGATGTTGTGTTCACAAGCAAGCTGAGCGATTCAGAGGCAAAATGGCTTCTGGAGACAACCCAGTCCTTCTATTTGAACGACACGAGGTACAGGCTGGTTGAGCGGTTCAACAAACAGACGCGGGATTTCGAATTCAAGGATGTTTTGCAAGCATTGGACATGCCCACTCTGTAATCTCCCTTTGCAGAGGTGATATATGGTACTGTGACTTTGAATGTGGACTCCTGAGACAGAGGAATCTTTTTCAAGCGGCCGTAGTGATAAAGTCAAGTCATCGACTGAAGATGACTTAGGAAATCGTCAATCTGATTCGTGAGTCGATGCTGACTGGTTGACGGTCGCTGTTGATGATTCTTGAGCAAACATATACATGCAACAAGTGATTTCGAACAGGGCGTTTAAGATTTTGACACAGCGGCGGTTTTCCTTTCGCATGAGAAGAAACGAACGATTGAAGTATCACTATCGTATCAGTTGACGGCGATGATGTGGTGTAATACCAGGATGCCATGGCGCCATGGTGTATGTGTCTCGATTTAAAAAAGTCGATATACCATATGAAATTGTTGCGTGATATATCCATCTCGCTTAAGATACTTTCTTGTGAAATTGCCATTTTCAGTTCATATAACTGTTGTCGGTAATTATAGTGTATCGAGTTCATTTCAACCGTTGATCATGTGAGTCTCGCACGTTCGGGACGATAATTTTCTAACTCGTATAATGGAAAAAGGATAATGACACGAAAAGTCTTTGAACTTTGACTCGATGGGTAATGTGATTCATAAATTTTTAATTTGTTCAATATGATTCCTAAATTTTAATTCAATGTGCGATGTTGTCCCTAAATTTTTTATTTGTTTAATGTGATATCTAGATTTTTTATACTTTTTCAAGTTAGTTCTTGAACTATTTGAAAATGTTCATTGCTATCTTTCTACTAATTCAAATTCAGGGACTGGATCGAACATGTTTCAAAAGTTCGCGGATTACATTGAACAAATTGAAAGTTCAAGGACGATATTATATATTAGGCTGAATCATATTAAATAAATTAAAAATTTTAGGGATCGCATTAAATATTGAATTAAAGTTTGTACATCATTTGCGGCATTTTCCTATGCAAAGAAAACCTATCTCGGATACGGCCGCACGGAAAGAAGAAAACGCGAGATCTGACCCCGAGGAACACGCGTAATTATCCCGTCGTTTCACCGCTCGCGCCGCGTCGTTTCGGCCTTTCGTCCAACGAACGAGTCCCCCTCCTCCTCCTCCTCCTGCTCTGCGCGATTTGGCTGAGGCCAGCCACAGAGACGGACCTTCTTCTTCTGGACGTTTCCGTTAAAACCCTCACTCCCCCCTCCTCCTCCTCCTCGCCGGCCCCGCCCCCTCCGCTCCGCCGCCCTCGTCCTCCGCCGTCCACCCGCCCCAACCCCATCCCAAAAGCCCTAACAAGTACGTACCCTTCTTCCCCTTACTCTCCAATCGCGTTCGAATTTTTTGCTGCAGACGAGGGCACGAAGCCGCCGCCGCCGGCCGCCCCGCCTTCCGCCACCGGCTTTCCTTCCCGGAGCTCGCCAATGAAGTACTCACGCTCGTTTTCTTTCGGTGGTTTCGCTCTCAGTAATGGCCGACCCCTCCGACGACGCCAAGCACATCGAGAAGCTCTACGAGTTCGGGGAGCGCCTCAGCGAGTCCAAGGACAAGTCTCAGGTTCCATTTCCCATCCCCCCCCGCTTCTCTCTCTTCTTCCGTTCGCTTTCTTGTTCTGCGTTTCTTCCGATTGGGGATGACGAGGGGAGGGGTTTCTGAGGTTGGGGCGTGCGGGCGTGACGTGTGTTGTTGCTGGGTGTTTGGTTTGAGTTCGTTTGCCTTTTCTGGGTGCCGCGTCGTTTTTTTTTGGTGTGCAGAATGTGGAGGACTATCAGGGGATCATCGCCGCCGCGAAGTCGAGCATGAAGGCGAAGCAGCTGGCGGCGCAGCTGATTCCGAGGTTCTTCAAGTTCTTCCCCGACCTGTGGGACCCTGCCGTCGAGTGTCTCGTCGATTTGCTCGAGGAAGAAGATCTCGGGGTTGGTGTTTTGACTGTTTTAAGTGTTGACTCGATTGTTGATGTGCTTATATTTGCTGAAGTCTATTGAGGAGCAGAGCATTCGGTTGATAAAATGTACCGGTGGGGGTAGGGAGTTTGAGTGAGAAAGATGTTGATATCGGATGGAATTATTTCCTCCGGTTGGTTAAGTGAGACTGAAAATAAATGTCCAGTTTTGTTATGAGGAGTCTTGGATTTTTTCGATTTTCTAGTTTTGTGTTGGCAAGGTTATGCTTTTTCATTCGTGCTCAACTGACTGGAACGCGATTCAATTGTATCGTGTGGACATCGACTGCCCTTTCTTGTATTGGAGATGATATGAGGTTTGATGACTAGCACATTGTGCAGGTCCGAGTGCAAGCCATCCGGGGGCTTCCACTTTTCTGCAAGGATACACCTGAGTACATTCCTAAGATTGTTTACCTTCTCGTGCAACTCCTTGCGGCTGGTAAATCTAGATTGCCCTCTGATTTACTTAGTTGTGCATTGAGTGATGTCGATGGTTTACAATAGATCTTTTTCTTTCTGTAGATGAACTCTGAACTTAGCTAAAGTCTCTGGTTTTATATTGTAGAGGATTTTGTTGAGCGTGATGCGGTGCACAAGGCTCTGATGTCATTGTTGAGACAGGATGTGAAAGGTGATAATCCATGTATTGAAGTCTCCTATTTCACGTTCTTGAGCTCTGGATTCCGTAGTTTCATGTGTCTGAGGTTAATAAATGTATTAGAAGGGCACAATGATGTTTGACTGCTTATATATGAATTTCGCGAGGTTGTTAACGGATAATGGTTTGCCAGTATACGGATACTTTTCTTGCGTGAACCATTCTTGTCACTGGAGAACTTCACTTCAACTCACCCATCCAATGGTAATATGAATGTTGCTTAGATGTTGAGGAGTGTGATATTATCGCAGTAGGAGAAACTATAGAATATCATAATTAGTATATTCCCTTCCCAAAAAAATAAGTGTTCATCCACTTGGAATTTTATACAGTGTAAAGTCAAAATTAATGATGGTGGGAGTTAGAATTATATATGCTGAACATATGTTTTGTTTCTGGAAGTAAATAAAAAGGGTCATAGATTTTGTCAACCTTGATTTTGCAAACATGAAGGTGCCTTTTGCACCTCAAGCCAAGTATATAGTTAGTCCCATAACTTTGTGTCCTGTTACGCTGCTTTTAGAAAAAAAAAAAGGTGTGAGCATCTCATGTTATGAAGAATAAACAAAACAGATCAAATTCTGATCTACCTTTCCCTTATGGTTTTAATCAGTACTTCCATGTCTTCTGCTGATTTTTATCAGTTTCAAGTACAACATTTGGTGCGTGAGAATTGAGATCTTTGGTAGCATCTCAGACTAGTGGTCAGGCTTGTAATCATATGCATAGACCTTGGTTCTATTTTCTTTTAATTTACTCGAGCCATTCTGACATTGAATTAAATGTTTGTGTTTTTTCTAGATAGCAATTGGAAATGCTCTATTTTAAACCTGTGGACCTGTGGACTTGTTTGTATTTCTTTTCTCTTTCGTGACGATCATTTTGGCAGGATGAGCAGCATGAGCCTGTTTTGACTTGTTTATTTGAGAACATTTTGAATCTGATTGATTTGCAGAGATAAGCTAATGTTTGACATGCGCTGTTTTTTGTGAAACTTTTTGCTTGGTGCAGCCTCCTTGTCAGCCTTGTTTGGTCGCATTGCGAATGTCGATGAACCCAGTGCAGATGACTTGATTCGGGAGAAGATATTAAACTACATAAAAGATAAGGTTGGAAGACTTGTTGAAAAAGATAAAATTTGACAGTTTTTGATGTCCACTCCCACCATACTTTGGGACATTCTTGTGTAATTTAAAGGATATTTAGGACTAATGGACTGGATTTGCAGGTGTTCCCACTAAAAGCAGAACTTTTGAAACCTCAGGAGGAGATGGAAAGACATATAACGGATTTAATTAAAAAAGTATGCTTTTTTGGTCCTTCTTATTTTTATAGTTCCTTCACTGATTTTTATTTCTTAATTGAGTGAACGTGTCGTAATAGAATTAGCCCGGACTTTTCTTATTGCCATGTCTCATTAGATGTGGCTGACTTATATTTCAGAGTTTGGAAGATGTAACTGGAGCAGAATTTAGAATGTTTATGGACTTTCTGAAAAGCCTGACTATATTTGGGGATAAAGCACCTCCGGAGCGCATGAAAGAACTTGTTGGGCTTATTGAAGCACAGGCAGATTTAGATGCACAATTCACGGTATGTGCCTGATGACGAACAAATTCTTGAGTGGTATTCTTGTTAGAAAGACAACTCTCTGTTAATGGTTCTATTACTGTGCCCGTTAGTGGAGATGGTCTGCTTCTTTATCATTTATTATGGTTTTTTTATTTTTCCATCTACTTGAATCCTTCTTCGGTAGACACAATTCATCCATCTTATGATGGTTACTATAGACTTAGAAAGGAAGAGAAAAATACCAGCGTGAAAACTGCCACAATCTAAAATTCTTTTTAGCAATATCATTCTGATATGCTTTGCACATATTTTATCAGCCTATAGCCGTGTGTGGGAGGTTTATAATATGGCCTTATGAGCTAGAGTCCCAGTTAGATTTGGCTTCTTGCTGGTGACAATATATCCACTATTGAGGTCACTTCTATCAATTAAAATGTTGCTAAGTTGCCCTATCACAGATCAGTATCAGTAATAATCCTAATGTGCGTGTATTGAATAGATTGGTGACTGATTATTGTCTTCTTAGAAATTATGAAGGCAAGTGTCAGATTATATTGAGCTGTTAAGGAGCTGTAAAAGTAAGTTTGTGGTTGAGTATTCAAACATTGCTTATAGATATATATATACCGCCTGAGTAATGCATTTTCACATTGATAGATAAACCCGGGGAACTTCCCTCCTTTTTCGAGGATTGGGGAGGAAAGGGTTTTTTTTTTTTGGGGGGGGGGGGGGGGGGGAACTAGTTGGAAGGGTGCACTGGTAGAAATATTGAGGGGTGATTCAAGGACCTGTAAAGGACTAGTACCCATGTGGTGATATCTTCTGAATGGAAAAGAAAGAAAATGTTTAACCTCCTGTAGCATCCTATTCCAGCTGTTTTCTGTGTTCCTCAGACCTTTATTTTGTTAATTTGTTTGTTTCCCAATATGTAATGAGAAAGTTCTTTTCCATTTTATTAATTTTCTAGTTGCAACATGACCTCTTGTTATGGCACATGCACATTCGTTCTAGATAACAACTAAACAAGGACATGGAAGTTGTGATAAGAGAGGCGACAAAGGCAAAAACTAAGCCCTTTC